CCCACAAGCTTCTTGAAACGATACCTTTTTGTACCCAACAAGAAGATCACCAATCCCGTAACAATCACCAAAGCCACGATCCCATACCCCCACCGACGACCAAGATTGTCCTGGATATAAACAAGAATAGTAACTGCCCCAAGTGACCTGATACTTATGAAGAAGAAGAACTAGCTGAAGAAAGCAACCATTTGGGTCTTTTCCCCTTTATCGGACTCATCAAATTGGTCTGACCCAAAAGGGTGTCTAAGTGTGAATCGGCTTTAGAAGAAAAGAAGAAGAGTTTTTTTGTACGAATTGATCCCCGGACTTATTTTTTTGGCTTTATAGAGGCACAATGTGAGTTTTTTGGTCTAAAAGGTCACTGAACCGGCTATTACAGGTTGACAGGGACTAAAAGAGCAGGTCATATCCTAGTTTAGAGACCCATAAAGCCCAACAAAAACTTTAGGGACTAAATGGGTAAACCCTAAAACGTTTGTAGGGCATTTATGTCATTTTCCCTTTATTTAAAAAACAAACTCAAGGTAGGTCCTCTACTTTTTCTAAGGTAGTTCCTAATTTTTGTGGTATATATATTTTAAATGAAATTCAAATTTTAAGTAGGTCCTAGGACCTACCTTCTTCTTTATTAGATACGCATATGATGTTTTTATACTATTCAGTCATTGAACTGTTAAAAATTGCATCAAATACACCATTATGACATAATATAACAAATATCCAAGGGATCTCAATTTTTCTCCCCTTCTATTAAATTTCTCTTTGTTATTTCCACCTTTTTTCTATAGGAAATAGTATTATATATTTTTACTTCTTCAAATTAGATCATGTGAGATTGGATTGCAACCATCGTCCCAGTTCTTCCACTCCTATGGCCTAGTGGTATAAGAGTTGTTGGTAAGGTGTCCATCCATCAATAGAACGAGGAAAATCTTGGTTGGGGTGAAGGTTTTGGTTTCTAAATAGATTTAGCTAGTTTGTAAATTAGCCGTTTAAGAAAATATTATATATATATATATATATATATATATATATATATATATATATATATATATATATATATATATATCATTTCTTAATAAAAACCTCTCCTACATGCCACATGTCCTTCTTTTAGACCATCTTCTTCCACGTTGCATTCTCTCCGGCACTTCTCTCTATTTTCTCCCGCCCAATTCATCAATCGATATCAAATTTGTAATCAATTCTGAATCCCTAAACTTCAGTTGCCGAATTTTGTGCAATCAACTATCAAAATATCTTCAACTGATTGTTCAAGGTAATCACAATAAATCAGGGAGTCTTCGTCAAATTTGAATCGAATAGGCTATTAAATCGCCACTGCTTGAACATCATCAGACACCACCGCACCACCATCTCATAATGCCCTCGAGAAACCCTATGTTTCACCACAACATCCATCGCACAACACCACTCACCGCCACCCTTGCTTCTTTCTAGGTAAAAAACGGTACATTTTTTCTTTATTTTGAATGTTTCTATACGATTTAAGGTTTGAATCAGTTGTTGCTTACTGGGTTTTCCAAATTAGGTTTAGTTGTTATTCCAGTATCATAGTAAGAAACATTCCCTGACTGGGACTATTATGACTTAAAGGAGCTCCTTCACCTCTCATATCACCTTCTTTTTAATACAACCGGATTTTACATTTACATTGACCATGTTTAATCCCACCGGCTCTACAAATCACATCACCGACCCCCACCCCTCATCGGGACTCGTCATTACACTATCTAAACATGAGTCTTGATGATTGTAGGTATCTAAATTATAATCAATTTATAGGTTTAAGTAAACATTCAAATTGTATAATCGAGAAATCACAAGTTATATGGAGATTGTTATTCCACTTATGGAGATTTGACTGTAAGAGGTAAAAGAGAGGGAATCCCACAAATATGTGCCATTATTTCAGTAAAGGTCATTGTAAACATGGCAATAAATGTATATTTTTACACACCCAATCTATACCTGACTTTAACAGGTTGATGATCAAGCTGCATGACTGAATTTATGTGCCTTGCACCAGGTTCACAAGGAAATGAGGTGTTGTGAAATAGTAAAGGTGATAACAAATGACAACTTGGTCCTCCTACTCTTCATGAGAAATAGTTGTCAGATTGTAACTTTATTTGAAGTTATTGAATCATTCTTTAGAGCTCACTTAGCTCAATGAATTTTACAGGTAGGTCTGCACACATGAGCTTGAAGAGAAGTGAAGCTTTTTAAGAGTCTTTTTGATCCTTACATTGATTCAAGTGCAGTTTCATTGAGATTCTTGAAATGGTTGTACCCGTGGCAAGCAAGTATGAAATTTGCAACTATGAAATTTCAAATTGCAATTTTTTCTATTATCCTCTTGTAGATGAATATCTAATTCTTTCAAGCATGTCATAAGAATGTGCACAAAATAGGTGTTACGGGGACAAGTCTATTCTTTCAAGACCTAAAGTTGATGATTCAATCAATCAATCCATCCACTTTCCCTTCAATTTTGCTTCTTTTTCTCATGAATATAAATTTTCACTTCATTATTCTCTTCTTTCTTTTTAATTTTTCTACTTTTCAGTTGCCTGTAACTACCGTATTAATTATTATCTTTCTGTTTAAATTGATTTATATCTTTTACTAATAATAATTCCATTTTTAATCTAGAAAGGATTTCTATCGATACAAATCCCATGATTGTTTCATTTGGATGGTTTGTTTTGTTAGAACAGATATTAGACTAATTATGTAACCCAAATAATCAGATGGTCGCTGAACATTCCTGTCAATTATAGCAATACACTCTCAAATTAATTATGTAACCCAAAATTGCAAAAAGGTCCAAAAACTGACGTACAAGATGTATACTAATAAAAATATCATTTATGTGTCATGTCAATTCCTCAGCTACCTCCCAACATCCACCCCCCCCCCCCCCCCCCCCCCCCCCCAAGAATTGCAAAGTGAAATACTAAAAATGGTCTTTTGGTCATTTAAACTCACATTATAGTAAAGCAGGAACATAATATGCAAAAAACATTCAAACTCAATTACAATCTCATTAAATCAGGAACATAATTCGTCCATTGCACATATGTTCTTTTTCCCATATGTTCCTTCATTTTCGTCATTCCATTTAATTTATATAAAAATTCTTTCGGTTAATATCCTTATAATTGAGCAAATGAAATCGATAATATTACAATCCCTACTAATCAGCCAATTAAATCTTTTTATTTGTATAACTATGCAAGATAAACATAGTAAGTCAATAATGTATAATTAAATAACTTATTAACTAATTGCTATTCTTTAGGAAATCTTTAATCAATAAACATAAACGATGACAAGTTAGCCATTTGAATTGGTTTATTTAAATTTATAATTACCTCTTCAATAAATGTGAAAACTGAAAACCAAAAAAAATGTTTAATTTATTTAAATGACTATTTTACCCCTAAAATAAACCTAAAAATTTGAAAAAAAAAATATTGAAGTTGGTCTTAAACTTTATGTAAACTGATTTAAATTGATATAACTTATTTAAAATTTATTAAATCGTTAAACTTTTTTTCTTAATAAACTCATTAAGGTATTCTTCAATAAAGTGAAATTACAATTTTAACAAACTTTATAAAAAGTGACCATTTTACCATACCGTGTTATTATATGTTACATGATTCAATGTACTCTTATTAAAAAAAATCATTGATGGGGACCATTCAAGTAACTATTCTTAAACGCCAGGTACCTTTTTTTAAAAATAATTCTAAAAAAAAAGTCCAAAAATTAATAAAAAAATCTATTTTATTTCATGATTTAAAATTTAAAAAAAAAAAACCTTTTAATTACACTGACACATTGTTATAAATTGTAACATTTAATAAAAACAACATAATGATTTCCCCCATGTAAGCAGGTTTTGTTGTCTTTGTTTAATTTTTTTACCCACGCTATAATTTATAACACTTTATAAAATATAACTAAATAATGGTAAAATATAACTAAATAATGGTTAATAAATGTTGAAATTTCAAAAATGTTACAATGTAATTCTCTTTTGGTGAAAATATTTTTTTATACGTTATACTTTACGCATTTATTTACTATTGTGTTTGAAAGTGCAATGCTATAATACATATTACAATGTCGTTTTACGAAAAAAAACAAATAAACTACAATGCTTGTGATGAACATAACATCAAGAAAAGAATTTTTTGCAAATCAATTATTGATACTATTTTATAATTTATATGTTATTTTATTTTGAGCACCGTGATTTCCACGGGTTATAACATCTATATATATATATATATATATATATATATATATATATATATATATATATATATATATGACAATAATTAAGCGATGTTGTAATCCAAAAAATAAAGAATTGAAGAAAATTCAGGAAGTAATTACAATACCATTTGATTGGATTGAGTATATTGCATAGGGTGTTCATAGATGGTTAAACCGAAATTGGGAATACATTGCTCCAATTAACTAATTTCTAATCAATAAAGTTAGGAGGAAAACAACAAAATATGTTTATTTTATAAACAATTAACAAAAGTAAATAATTATGTCAAAAAAAACTTTAACCTTCAATAATCGTACAATAATAAGAAAAAAAATCCTTAAAAAATAAAATAATAATCAAAATTAATATTTTCTTAATTAAGCATTTATCACTAAAATTATATACCATATATTAGTTATTTTAAGTTTACTCCTACTTAAATATCCTTATACTCATATTCCTCCCTGTTCACATGTCCTATTTTAACCAAAGTTATAAAAAAGATTCATCATTTCAACATCTACTTAATTACGTTTGACCTCGTGATCTCAAAAAGACAACGACTCAACCTGTGGACCATAATCTCACAACAAAAATCAAAATCTAGCATCATAAACCTTCAATCCTCATCATATAAAAACATCTACACCCATCACACTTTTTCACCATATTATCTTCTTTTTCATTCACTTCATACTTTCATAACATAAAAAGATGTGGAGATTAAAAACAGCAGAAGGAGGCAATGATCCGTATCTCTTTTCCACAAACAATTTTATCGGGAGACAAACATGGGAGTTTGACCCGAACCATGGAACCCCAGAAGACCAAGCCACAGTCGAACAGGCCCGAACTGATTTCTGGAACCATCGACACCGGGTCAAGCCCAGTAGTGATGTCCTTTGGCGCATGCAGGTTGAAAGAAAATTTTAAAATCATTAATACTTGTTTTGGTATTGTTTACTAAATATGTGGATAATATTTATATAATGTGTGTAGTTTTTGAAAGAGAAAGAATTCAAACAGACAATAGCCCAGGTGAAAATAGAAGATTCTGAAGAGATATCGTATGAAAAAGCTACAACCACACTGAGGAGGTGTGTCAGTTTTTTCTCAGCTTTGCAGGCCAGTGATGGTCACTGGCCTGCTGAAAATGCGGGCCCACTGTATTTCATGCAGCCGTTGGTTATTTGTTTGTATATTACCGGTCATCTTAACGTTGTTTTCCCGGAAGAATATCGAAAAGAAATTCTACGGTATTTATATTGTCATCAGGTACGGTATTTATAGAATCCTAGCTTCATTTCTTTTTGCGTCAAAGCAGTTTCTTTTCATTATTTTCTTCTTAAAACATTATACTATAAAAAATCACCCTAGGTATAGCAGTGGAAACTGTTTTCCATTTGGATGATGATCATGATATTGCTACAATTAGGCAAATATATAAAACTACAATGTTTCTATTTCTTTCATTTACGTCTTTTCAATTCTAAAAAGTATATCTGGAATTGACAGAATGAAGATGGTGGATGGGGGTTTCACATAGAGGGACATAGCACGATGTTTGGGACAACTTTAAGTTACATTTGCATGCGGCTTTTGGGTGAAGGTCTGGATGGTGGTCTGAATGGTGCATGCACCAAAGCCCGAAAATGGATCTTGGATCATGGCACTGTCACCACTATCCCATCATGGGGTAAAACATGGCTTTCTGTAAGACATTTAAGTTTTTCTTTTTTCATTTTGTATATATATTTTTATATATTCTTTAGTTTCTATATATTTGAAACAAACTTATAAAATATCATTTGCTTTAGATACTTGGTGTGTGCGAGTGGGCAGGAACCAACCCTATGCCACCGGAGTTCTGGCTCCTTCCCTCTTTTCTTCCAATGTATCCAGGTTAGTGTCTGACTTCTTTTGACTTAATAGGCTTAATGGATACATCATATATGACCTGATTCATTCAGATATAAGGTAGATTCGCAAACTTGTTTCTTGTATATTTAGTTATTTATATAAAACTAATACTATATATATTTTTAACTTTTTATATAAATGCAGCGAAGATGTGGTGCTATTGTCGGCTGGTATACATGCCGATGTCGTATCTCTATGGAAAAAGATTTGTGGGTCCCATTACTCCTTTGATTCTACAACTTAGAGATGAACTTTACTCACAACCCTACAATGAAATCAATTGGAAGAGTATAAGGCATTTGTGTGCAAAGGTAAAAAATTTACAACTATATGCAAGAAATAGCAAATGTACTTTTATTTATTTGTGTATTATATCACCCCTACTTTCATTTCTTTCTATTACATTTTGTTTTCAAAATGCTTGCCCGATTTTTCTAATTATATGCCTAAAGTAATCTAACTTATGATTTCAGGAAGATTTATACTATCCTCATCCATTACTACAAGATTTAATGTGGGATAGTCTCAACATTTGCACAGAGCCTTTACTAAATCGTTGGCCATTAAATAAATTGAGACAGAAAGCGCTTGATACAACAATGAATCATATCCATTATGAAGATGAAAATAGCCGATATATCACAATTGGTTCAGTGGAAAAGGTTAGTAGTTAGTTAATCTAATAACTTAATCAACCATAAACTACCACATACATACACAAAAAAGAATAATTAACCATACACAATAAGAATAATTGGGTAGGATATTACAGTTGCATATATATATTTCAAACAAAAATGCTTTCTTTATAAGGAAAAAAATTGCAATACTAAGAATGAAAGTAGGATACTATGATACACCTAAGTAGAAAGAAGGATTGAGAAAGACAAAGTGCTAAATATTTCACCTTTGTGTAGGCGTTGTGTATGCTTGCATGTTGGGTTGAAGATCCAAATGGTGTTTGTTTCAAAAAGCATCTTGCAAGAATCCCGGATTATCTCTGGGTTGCTGAAGATGGAATGAAAATGCAGGTTATATAAAAATCCAACATTAAAAGAAAACATAATTTTTATAATTCTAAAAGTCGATTGTTATAATTTTTTGAAATAGAGTTTTGGTAGCCAAGAATGGGATGCTGGTTTTGCTATCCAAGCTCTACTGGCTGCTGATCTTACAGAAGAAATCGGTTCTACTTTAATGAAAGGACATGAATTCATTAAAGCTTCACAGGTCTCTAAAACTCATAACACATTTTTGTTACTTTTTTACTGGATTACTTATTCTTTAATTCTTGTTTTAGGTTAAAGATAATCCTTCTGGAGACTTTAAAAGCATGCATAGACATATCTCTAAAGGGTCATGGACTTTTTCAGATCAAGATCATGGATGGCAAGTTTCTGATTGTACTGCTGAAGGATTAAAGGTATAATACAAATCTTTCTAGATGTCGAAAATTGAAAATTTTCAAAAGGGTTGTTGATCTAATGGTCGAATTACTATCTTGTCCTCAGTGTTGTCTACTATTCTCAACAATGCCACCAGAAATTGTTGGTGAAAAAATGAAACCTGAGCAACTGAATGATGCTGTCAATGTAATACTTTCCTTACAGGTTAGTGTATATACATTTTCTCTCATTTCCATTTCATGGAAACACTTAAAGGAAAATCATTTAATAATTAATAAATTAATTTGATCTTGATGATGATATAGAGCAAAAACGGTGGGCTAGCTGCATGGGAACCAGCAGGATCATCAGAATGGTTGGAGATTCTCAATCCTACAGAGTTCTTTGCTGACATTGTCATTGAGCATGAGTAAGATTGTTTCTTTTCTAAACTGAATGAAAGTAAATGACAATTTTACCCTTCAAGAGTCTTACGAAAATGTCTTGAGTACTAGGTATGTTGAGTGCACATCATCAGCAATCCAAGCACTCGTTTTGTTTAAGAAGTTATACCCTGGACATAGAAGGAAAGAGATAGAGACTTTCCTTACAGGTGCAAGTGGATACTTGGAGAAAATACAGATGCAAGATGGATCATGGTTTGTTTTTGTTTTTTGTGCTTTTTTGCATTAAAATAAGACTTATTTTCTTTGGTTTAAACTTGAGAAACTTATGGGTTTTAATTAGGTATGGAAACTGGGGAGTGTGTTTTACATATGGTACTTGGTTTGCTCTTGGAGGATTGACAGCTGTCAATAAGACATTTGAAAATTGTCACGCAATTAGAAAAGGTGTCAAATTTTTACTTGAAACACAGCTGGAAGATGGTGGTTGGGGAGAAAGCTATAAATCATGTCCTGAAAAGGTAACACTATTATATAATCACATAACATAAAGTTGTTTCAAGAATAATAATAATGATGATATAATACGATAAATTAAATAATCGTTTGTTGATGTATAAGTAGAAATACGTACCCCTTGAAGGAGGTCGATCAAATTTGGTACATACTGCATGGGCTATGATGGGATTGATTCATTCTAGACAGGTTAGTTTTTTTGTGTTTTTAATTCTATATATAATTATAATGTTTGTTTTTTTATGTATGTAGTTTGTAATATTTGAATGGATTTGTTCAAAATATATAGATGGAGAGAGATGTGACACCTTTACACAAAGCAGCCAAGTTATTGATCAATTCCCAGTTGGAAAATGGTGATTTTCCACAACAGGTAACAAAAAATGAAGTTAAATTAAATTTAAAAAATGGAAAATAGCAGTAAATGATGAAAACAAGTGTTACATTAATTTTTGTCAGGAAATAGCTGGAGTGTTTATGAAGAACTGCATGCTGCACTATGCACTATACAGGAATATATACCCGATGTGGGCTCTTGCTGACTATCGCAAGCTCGTTCTCAAAGGCATCTAAGTGGGCAAATCAGTCATTTCAATGTGTATATATATAAAGAATATGTTACATTAATAAAGAAAACAAATTATCATTAATTCTCTTCATTATTTATCGGTATATATATATATATATATATATATATATATATATATATATATATATATATATATAAGCAAAGGCTCATGTGTTCAAGAAAGAGGAAGGATGCTAAAGAGGGAATATAAGGTGGTCAAGAGAGAAATGTAAAGACTAAAGAGCCTTTTTCTTTTTTTTGTATAATTCTGTTTATTATGTTTTGTTCCTCGATTCAAATTATGTAATGGTCCTAGCCTATATAAATATATGAGTTATCATGAAATAATATGTGTGTTTTGTACTTCATGAATAAAGTTTCCAAAGAACATTACTCTCATAGATGACATCATTTCATATGCAAAAAGACCACACGATACTCTAAGTATGAATTTTGCAGATGACATATGTGAAATTGATGGTTATTTTGATGAATGAGCTAATTTTTTATTATTTAAAAAAAACGGTTGATTGGATCAGAAATTTTTGACTTTTTCTCTTCAAAATAATGATAATTTTTAATATCAACCTTTTAAATATAGTATAAAACTATTATATTTCACTTATTTCTAACATACATTTCTTTATATTTAACTTTATAAGATAGAAATGTCATAAATTACCAAAATGATAGCTAATGCGTCATTTCCTAGAACCAGAGGGGTTCATCTTTACATTAAATAAATCTAAAGGGTCTGCTACTCTGCTTTTGCTATCATCGTAAAATAAGAACTCCATCACTCATCAGTCCATCTCCTTTCTACATTTTGATCTTCCTCACACGCCAATATACAAACGGAAGGTCGGTTGATTTTGTTCTTGACTTTTGTTTTCCATCGGTTGTAAGGAGTAAAATGAATAAAAACATGTTTCTTATTTCAGGTTTGAAGAAGATTCATACTCGTACCCGAAATCAAAGAAACTAGTTTGCACTTGCAGGTAAATCTGAGCACTCTCCCGTTGCAGAATTAATTTCTCGTTGTTATTTTAAAAAGAAAAATCGATTGATTTGATGGGTTTTTGAATAACGCATTCAAGGTGTTCGATGAATTGCCTGTTCACTACTCATTATTGAATTCAACAAATTGGATGCCTTTCGAGAAAACATCAACACTCAGCAATTTTTCTTCAAATTAGATTTATCTCTCCATCTTATAGTATCTTTGTTTCCAGTTGTTTCATGGAATATCATCTGAAATTGGGAATCGTATTGTCTCTGCTTGTTGGTATTATCGATTCCACACATTCCTCTTCATATTCTTCTGAGGTGAGAATTCTATTTCCTTCCATTTTCATATATAATTCGTCTTTAATTGTTCCTCTTTATCGTTTTCAGTTGGGAAGCCATAGATACATCACAGAAGCATACTTTCATAAACACAACACCATAATCGATCAAGTTTTCCAAGATTTCATAACCAATAACCTCCCTCATGGATCCTGTGAAATGCTGCAAACTAAACACAATTTCATCCCAAAACTATCACTTTTAGGGCGAAATTTAATTGGTGAAGGTTCTCACAGGCGTCTAACATCTTCCATTAAAATCAAAATCCATCAAGAAATTTCATCTAATCTCCAATCACTCTCATGTAAAGCCATAGTTATTGAACGACTCCCCTCTGGAGTATTCACCGACCCATTCGAGCTTCAACATCTTACTCAACGTGGTGGTAAATTACACTCATACCCTTCAAGTAATTCTTGTACTCAAAAAGATTAAGGACACTATCTTCTTTTTCTTTTCTTTTTTGCAGTGTTTACTGATGCTTCTGTATTCGGGGACACTGATTTAGAATCACCTACCATAAGGGCAAATCGGTCAATTATTGAAATTCACATGGATTTGAACCCTAAAAACAAGAACAATTGGGAACTCAAGATTGAGCTTCCATTACATGCACGTTATGCGGTATGTGAATCTAAAGCTCTAAACACATTTGTGTTTTTTTACATCAATTGATTGAATTACATTTATTTTTTTCAGCCTTTGGGAGAATATGGTTATACAAGAATTGAATTTGGGTCTCCTGATTTGTTTCTACACTGCACTATTGAAGGGGACCCACATAACAAAAGCTGTTTAATTTCAACCAATGACAATGATGTTAGTCTTACGTCATCAAATGTTGCTTCTATTTTATGGGAAGTACCTTCTGGAATTGTGGAACATACAAAAATTGTCTCTATGATTACTTTTATTTCAGCTGTTGTATCTGCTTTCTCAATTTTCATTGCATGTCTTTATTATCCAAACACTGAAAGTGAAAGCTACATTAATTTTAAACAATCTTAATATGTTACAAGTTTCATTACATCAAAACTGTTTCCTTTTTATTTCTTTATATCTTTAGCAACACCTTCTTGCGATAATCAGCTAGGGCCCACATTGGGTATATATTCCTATACAATGCATAGTGCAACATGCAGTTCTTCATAAAGACTCCAGTTATTTCCTGTATTATGTAAACAAAAACGATAAATGTAACACCTTTTTTCATTTTTCATTTAATTTTACTTGATTCAACTTATTTTTTGTTACCTGTTGTGGAAAATCACCATTTTCTAACTGGGAATTGATCAATAACTTAGCTGCTCTGTGTAGGGGTGTCGAATCTCTTTCCATCTATATATGTTTTGAACAAATTAATTAATATATTACAAACTACAAAAGAAAATGAATATTATAATTCAATTTAGAATTTAGAATTTAGAATTTAAATAAAAAAGTGACCTGTTGAGAATGAATCAATCCCATCATAGCCCATGCAGTATGCACCAAGTTAGATCTGCCTCCTTCAAGGGGTATGTATTTCTGTTTATAAACCAACAAAAAGATTATTCATTTTATTATTATTATTATTTTTCTAAAACAAGTTTTTATCTCATATTCTCATTGAATTATTACCTTTTCTGGACATGATTTGTAGCTTTCTCCCCAACCACCATCTTCCAGCTGTGTTTCAAGTAAAAATTTGACACCTTTTCGAATTGCGTGACAATTTTCAAATGTCTTATTGACAGCTGTCAATCCTCCAAGAGCAAACCAAGTACCATATGTAAAACACACTCCCCAGTTTCCATACCTAATATACACAAATTCTCTCATTTGTTAAAAACTACAAAAAAAGTTGATTTTAATGAAAAAAAAAAAAACAAACAAACAAACAAACCATGATCCATCTTGCATTTGTATTTTCTCCATGTATCCACTTGCACATGTGAGGAAACTTTCTATTTCTTTTCTTCTATGTTGAGGGTATAACTTTTTAAACATAACTAGTGCTTGCATTGCTGATGATGTGCACTCAACATACCTAGTCAAGACATTTCATAAGTCTCTTGAAGGGTAAAATGGTCATTTTGTGGTTTCAAAGAAGATATTGAAATGGTAACTTATGTAGGAATCTTACTCGTGTTCAATGACAATGTCAGCAAAGAACTCTGTAGGATTGAAAATCTATGATGAAGGAGTATAAAATATAAATATCAAATCTTTTTAATTTAACAAACTTTTTTTTTTTTTTAATTTACTAAAATACCTCCAACCATTCTGATGATCCTGATGGTTCCCATGATGCCACCCCACCATTTTTGCTCTATAATATTATCATCACAATCAAGTTAAAATGTTTAGAATTCCCATTGAAGAATCCAAATATTTGTGTCTATTTTTATTTTAGGAATGAAATTAGACCTGTAGAGAAAGTATTATGTTGACAGCATCTTGCAGTTTCTCTGGTTTCATTTTTTCACCAACAATTTCTGGTGGCATTGTTGAGAGTAGGAGACAACACTGGGGGCAAAACAGTAATTTGACCATAAGAACAAACGCGATTTGGAAAATTACGATTATGGGCATCTCACATCATACCTTCAATTCTTCAGCAGTTGTGTCTGAACCTTGCCATCCATGATCTTGATCTGAAAAAGTCCATGACCCTTTTGAAATATGTCTGTGCATTTTCTTAAAGTCTCCAGAAGGATTATCTTTAACCTAAAACAATAATTAATGATTAAACAATTTAGTAAAAAAACATAAAAAATTGTTTTTAAGAGTTTTAAAAACCTGTGAAGCTTTAATAAATTCATGTCCTTTCATCAAAGTAGTCCCAATTTCTTCTGTAAGATCAGTAGCCAATAGAGCTTGGATAGCTAAACTAGCATCCCACCCTTGACTTCCAAAACTCTGTTTCAAATTTATAACAATCAACTTCTAGAATTATAAAATTTATTATATTTTTTTATGTTTAGATTCTTATATAACCTGCATTTTCATTCCATCTTCAGCAACCCAAATATAATCAGGGATTCTTGCAAGATGCTTTTTGAAACAAACACCATTTGGATCTTCAACCCAACATGCAAGCATACACAACGCCTACACAAAGGATTGTACTTTGAAATAATTTAGTAGATTTTTCAAATATAATAGGAGGAAACAATATAATTAAGCTATTAGATATTTAGATTATGAGATTATCTAACCTTTACAACTGAACCAATGGTAATATATCGACTATTCTCATCTTCATAATGGATATGTTTCATTGTTGTCTCCAATGCTTTCTTTCTTAATTTATTAAATGGCCAATGATTTAATAAAGGCTCAGTGCAAATATATAAACTATCCCACATTAAATCTTGTAGCAACGGATGAGGATAGTATAAATCTTCCTGAAATAATAAGTTTCTGCACAAGGGTAAGTAAGTATTATTATGCAAACTAAACTTTTTATAAATAGTAAAAAATTTCACCTTTGCACACAAATGCCTTATACTCTTCCAATTGATTTCATTGTAGGGTTGTGAGTAAAGTTCATCTCTAAGTTGTAGAATCAAAGGAGTAATAGGACCCACAAATCTTTTTCCATAAAGATACGACATTGGCATGTATACAAGCCGACAATAGCACCATAGTTTAGCTACATTTGTCCATTAAGCCAAGCCCATTAAGACCAATAAGTCAAAAAGAAACAGACAGTATTCACTATTAATTCACTAACCTGGATACATAGGAAGAAAAGAAGGGAGGATCCAGATCTCTGGAGGCATAGGATTGGTTCCTGCCCACTCGCACACACCAAGTATCTAAAACAAATAATATTTTATAAGTTTGTTACATATATATAGAAACTAAAGAATATATATATATATATATATATATATATATATATATATATATATATATATATATATATATATATATATATATAATGAAAAAAGAAAAACTTAAATGTCTTACAGAAAGCCATGTTTTACCCCATGATGGGATAGTGGTGACAGTGCCATGATCCAAGATCCATTTTCGGGCTTTGGTGCATGCACCATTCAGACCACCATCCAGACCTTCACCCAAAAGCCGCATGCAAATGTAACTTAAAGTTGTCCCAAACATCGTGCTATGTCCCTCTATGTGAAACCCCCATCCACCATCTTCATTCTGTAAGCAATAGTAATGTACTTTTGTTGATTTGTTTGTTATATCATCATAGTTTCATTTCTTCTTAAGATGTCTTAATAAGAAAAAAGTTGGAAATATAATATGCTAATGGAAGTACATTGTTATTTCTTGCATACGTTCCGATTTAAAAATAGTTGTACCTGATGACAATATAAATACCGTAGAATTTCTTTACGGTATTCTTCTGGGAAAACAACGTCAAGATGACTGGTAATATACAGACAGATAACCAACGGTTGTATGAAATACAGTGGACCCGCATTTTCAGCAGGCCAGTGACCATCACTGGCCTGCAAGGTTGCGAAAAAGCTGACACACCTCTTCAGTGTGGTTGTAGCTTTTTCACATGATATCTCTTCAGAATCCTCTATTTTCACCTGAGCTATTGTTTGTTTGAATTCCTTCTCTTTCAAAAACTACACATTATATAAATAAATATTATCCGCATATTTTATAAACAATTAAACAAATATCAATGAGTTTAAATTTTTGTTCAACCTGCATGCGCCAAAGGACATCACTACTCGGCTTGACCCGGTGTCGATGGTTCCAGAACTCGGTTCGAGCCTGTTCGACCGCGGCTCGGTCTTCTGGGGTTCCATGGTTCGGGTCAAACTCCCATATTTGTCTCCCCATAAACTTGTTTGTGGAATAGAGATTTGGATCATTGCCTCCTTCTGCTATCTTTAATCTCCACATTTTGTTTTGTCATGAAAGTATTAAGTGAATGAAATTGAGAAGGAAATATGGGAAAAGTGTGGTAGGGTGTAGTGTTTTTATATTGAGAAATGTGAATTTATGAACATAATTTATGATACTAACTTATGGGATTACTTCTTAAAGTGACACACGATTTTATATCAGTAAATAGTATATTAGGTATGGTGGAATCATTACTTTATTCTAATGTGAATTATTTGATTTTTTTGGTCACGCAATCCATACATGCAGTTTAATTTGAATTATTCAACTATTGCAATCACTATACACAATAGGCAGGTAAAATATTTTTTTATAAAATCTTGCTGTTTAATTTTTATCCACAAAGATACTTACTTCCATTAATCACCAATCAATGACTTTTTGAGTTATTTGATTTTTTGGTCACCCAATCCATACATGCAATCCAATTTGAATTACTCAACTATTACAATCACCATACACAATCAATGAGTGCACTCAAATTCTCATGTCTCGTAGTCAACATTATGGAGTCCATTCACCACTAACAAGTTAAACCTAAGAGGGTTGGGAATGGTCATGTTTCCATCTTTCCATCACATCACATGAGTCAGTTTTTCTCTTTCTTCCCACTCTATCTTTCAACCATCCTTGAGCTATGGAAATGATCATCTTTCTATCCCTCTCAATTTCACATTTTTTAATAAAATGATTAAAAAAAGGGTAAATTATATCATCTCAGTGGCCTATGTCAACCCATCTCAAGATCAACTTGATAAGTCAATTTCTGAACACTAGCAGTATTTTGTGTGGAATCACTCAACCATTAGGCTCTCATTGTGGGGGCTTTAAAAATGATTAAAAATATATAAAACGGTAAATGGTACAAAGACACTACATTTTCATAATTTTTGATTTTGACATTGCATTATTTTTTGTTCCATCACATCTCCCAATTTTTTCAATGTTGACAACATGCTCGGTTTCCTTCAAGTTATCCGGTTTCATTGTATGTGATGTGCCAATAAGTGTAGTCCTAATTCGCATTTAAATGATTGTATCGAACTCCCTCCTCTCAATTTCAGGCAAAAAGATGGGGATCCATACTCCATTTTCTTCTATTCTGCTATGATTTGAACTCCACAAAGTAATTGTTTCTCAAGGTCGATCAAGTGGTTCAACATCACAAACTAGAGTTCGAAGAGTGAGAAAGCAGCCTTTAGGAGGTGCTATTGTGGACTAGTTGCGTGATTTTCAGTGTCTTGGAGTGACAAAACCCTTGGAAGAAAATACTTTGGTTGCATGTATTTCCCAAGTGAGAAACAAGATTATGGATTCTTTGAATTGTATGATGAATAACTTCCCAGCTCATGACACAAAGGAAAGTTTAACGAAATGAAGCTCATACTGTTTCATAAGCATTAAGTGAAAATAGGTCCTATAATGTTATTTATCATTAGGGTTATGATATCCTTATTTGTGTTTTTGATAATCCTTGTTGGGGTGTTTTGTTGTACAAGGGTTAAGTACGTAGGTCATTGGTTTATATATGTGGGCTAGCTAAGATCTAATGTTGACCATTTTGGTTTGTAAGGCCCAATGTTGATCATTTATGTTTGATATAAAAAGTGGACCAATGTTATAGTGTTAATTCGTTTACCTATTAGAAATGTGTTATGGTGTTCATCACCCAAATTGGATGGTCAATGCGCAAATCAAATGTATAAGGTCCAAAAGTGCAAAATACCCGATGTGCAAAGTAAAAACAGTTTTGCGCATACGTTCATTAACCAAATTGGAGAATGTGATTACGTGAGTGTCCAAAAGCAAAATTCATTACCCAAAATAAGGCAATGTATAGATTAAATGTGCAAAGTTCAAATTTGTAAACGTGAATTCAAATGTATTCAAATTTCAAGATTCATAAAACTAAGGCAAACCATCCACATGTTTGAATTTTTTTGGTGTTTAAACACATTAGAGTTGCTACCCAATCCAATTTACAAAAAAGCTAATCTAGTTTGGTGTTTGTATAATACAAACTATATAAATAAGGGATCAAGTTGACCAAAAAAGGCTTTCACAATAACCACCCATCTTGCCCTAAAACTCTAACATTATACTAATACAAAGTTAGAGGATTTCCATTTTCCACTGCACAATCATGCTCTATCCTTTGACTTCTTGCTCAACTTAGCTTTCAAAATCCTTTGTCTTCTTATTCATTTTCATCTCTTGCTTGGGTGGTTGTCTTTCATAACCTACCAAAGTTGATTACCACAATATCCATAAACTGTGTACAAACTGTATAAATGCATACAAAGTATATAAATGTGTTGTGTTCTAGCCCTTTTTGTGAAGCCATTAAAAACGAAATTACATTTTGACAAATGACTTATTAGGTAAATAAATTAAAAATAAGCATACTCTAACTAAAAATAGTAAACAATGTGAATGGTTACTTTGGTAGGGGTGTGTTCTTGGGAATAAGAATATCCATGTAATTATATTGACCATTATAAATGATTGTTATTCCCAGTGGGAGGGAAGTGAGCTCCATTAACATAAAGTTGTTATCGACTTCTTTGTCATCATCATTTCGAGTAAACTTAGAGGCCAATATTGCAGCCCTATACGCGACAGTCTCGTCCCCATTCAGGTTTTTGTAAAGTTGTTTACCATTAAAAAAAATCCTCCATCATTTTCTGTAGCTTTGGGGTCCTGTTGGAACCGCCGACAGAAACCACATCATCAACTTCATGTTTCTCCATGTTGGTTTCCTTTAGACATTTTCCATCCAAGTCTAAAAGTATTTAGAGTTTATTTGATCAAATTTAGTCTTGTTAATTGTAGCTGTAAAATCATTACCATCAACGTCTACTATAGTTGAAGTGGAAGAGGACAACACACTTTGCTCTCTCACAGACAGTTTTGAGCCTCATCATGGCTTTGGCATTAACTACCAGGTTCTTATTGTGTTTCTTTTTCAAGTCCTTAACAAAATTATCTATAAGTCCATTGTCGAAATCTTCTCCACCCAAGTTGGTGTCCCCTCCAAGAGTTTTGAGTTTAATCTTATTTTTCTCACAGACATCAACTTCCAAAGCAGCTACATGGGTGGTGGTACTTTTGATGTAGATGTCTTTGAAGTTAATGTCGGTGAAGAAAATAAGATTAAGATCAAAGCTTTTAGAGGGGACGCCAACCTGGGCGGAGAGCTTTTCAAGAATAGAATAATAGACAGTTTTGCTAAAGACTTGAAAAAGAAACAAAATAAGAACCTGATAGTTAATGTGAAAGCCATGATGAGGCTCAAAACTGTCTGTGAGAGAGCAAAATTTGTTGTCATCTACCACTTCAACTATAGTCATTGATGGTTTGCTTGATGATAATGGTTTTACAGCTACAATTAACAATGCTAAATTTGATCAAATAAACTCTAAATACTTTGAGAAATGCATTAAGTTGGATAGAAAATGTCTAAAGGAAACCAACATGGAGAAGCATGAAGTTGATGATATCATGATATAGTTCTTATTGGGGTTCGAGTAGGATCCCAAAGCTACAGAAAAATGTCGGAGGATTTTTTAATGGTAAACAATTTTCCAAAAGTTTGAATGGGGATGAGGCTATCACGTGTGGGATGCAATATTAGCCTCTAAGCTTACTCGAAGTGATAATGACAAAGTAGTCCATAACAATTTTGTGTTAGTGGCGCTTACTTCCCTCCTACTCAGAATAAAAATGACACCTAATGCTGGACCTAATTACATGAATGTCATTGTGCCCAAGAACTATAAGATCAGTCCAATCACCACCTTGAAAGGCAACTATGCTATAATCTTCTACACTTTAGGCTCGTTGTACCTCCTCCCAATGAGCCTATTTATATCTTAAAGTTTAGAGGATTCCCATTAGCAAGACGAATCAAAATATAAAAATCAATCGATAATTAAGATACAGGTAACAACAAAATGGTGCCCCTATTCTTTCAACTTTTAGATTCCAAAGAAAAATATAAAATGGGAAATGAAGACAAAAATAACTTACCAAGGACAATGTTACTAGGGTTCCAAGCCATCTAGTACTTTGCAGCATTGCCTACCATCATTTTCTCATCATCAAACGCTATGAGCCTATGACAGATGTCCACCTGATTTTTTGCTTCACACCAAACGCCAACACAAGAGGACGTAGTTCCAAGGCTGCTCCTTTTCCGCTTGTAGACATTCTTGAAACCGAAAACATTCTGCACGGGATAATCTCAAATCATTAATCTCAACTTCAAATACAAAATCCATTCAATCATTGTCAACTTATCGACACATCCGGTTTATAATACTAAACTTGAGGCACACATATTTTGAAAAGCAAAGATGAATTAAAAAAAAAAAAAAAAACGAAAAAAGAGTACTAGACAAAAGAGCTATAAAGAATGGAATCTTGAGACTGATTTCATGAAGCACGAATCATGGGTCATAGCAATCCAAAAATTACCAAAACATTGCAATGAAACTAAACATTGAGTCACTGATGGCTTGTATCTTCACTACCAAGGTTATGATTTAAAAGAACCACCGGCACAGGAATAAAAGAAGCCATCTTACTCAGCTACAACAACAGGATACAGCAACTAGACAAATACAGTTATGAGAAATGAAGAAACAACAAACCATTCAACAAACCCTAATCAATTACATACTTGAAAAAACACTTAACAAATACACCTTAGTTAACAAGTAAGAACCCTTGGATAGGTTAAGGGGGTGTTTGGCAAAAAAAAAAAAACTGCTTATATATGTAAAATTACCAAAAAGGGCTTCCTTTTATATTATGACTTATTTTGATGTATCACTATCAACAAGATTATCATTGTTGGTGTCCATAACCTAAACTACATTCAAGTATCATATAAGCATCTTAAGAATATCATTCAAACCAATATGTATGTTCCTGTTATGAACACAATGTGTATGGTCCTATTATAAACAGGAGCAACTGAACAGTTATGAACAGTAGCAATACACCATTGCAGTGACACTGTACAGACTAATTGAATATAGAGATAAACTAGGATATTAGAAAATACTACAAAAAATAATTGGCTAATGGTGTTTCTGTTGCAGCCATAACACGATTTTGATTTCACACATAAATCTAAAATTTGCAGAAATCACGTAGATTTGGATTTCAACAAACTCATATGATTTCGATTTCAACTAAAATAAGGGGAAAAAGGAAAATCGAGAGCAGGCAAAATGCAGTTGAACGAAAGCAGGATGAAGAAAATCGCACCTGAATCGAATCTGTCGGGTGCGACGGTATCCGGCGGTGAGCAATCGGGAATCGAGCCGATGAGAGAAGAATGGAGGCGTGCTGTGTGTTTTTCTTGTCTGGTGTCGCAGCATATCAACAAAGAAAAACTTTTTATTAGTTTTAGTGTAGACAACTTATCAAAATTGACTTATTAGAGGTATCATCTGCTATAACCTATTTTTAAAAAATTGTCATTCAAATATAGGGATGAACATAGATGGTACCCGTCTCATTTCGCCGGAACCGAAACCGATAGTTTCTATGAAGTTAGAACCGAAACCGATTTAGGAGGTTCTTAAATTTTTGGATCTAATTCCGGAACTGACGGTTTCAGTCCAGAACGGGTAACCCGGTTACATCATTTTTTTAATTTCTTTAGTGCAAAATAATTCTTTGTCATTGAAACAAAAAATAAATATTATAACCAGTTTATTACGATATAAGTTACAACGGCAAAAAAATAATCGTTTTAAAATATAATTCAATATCCAATTAGATAGTCTCAACATATATCCAATTAGATAGTCTCCACATATGTCTTAGTCATCAAATGTTGTTACGATCAATTCTTTTAAGTATTAAGTATTTTTTAAATTTTAATATTTCAGAACCGTTGTTCCAGCGGTTACCCGGCGGGTAATGGTTCCTAAAAAATAAAAACCGAAGCCGGTCATAGGCGGTTCCCACTTTTAGGAATCGGAACCGGAACTATCGAACCTCGGTTTCAGTTCCAGAACCAACGGTTCCGAGGTGGTTCCAGTTCCAAAAGCGGATACCCATTATATGTACGCATCCTTATCCAAACACTCTTTTTTTGTTTATATCGATGTGGAACCGATAATAAGTCAAAAAACTCCTTAAATAAACTTAGTCAAATACTCCCTAACTTGCAAAAAAAAACATAGAATAGATTCTTCAACGATAACCCAGGAAACAATTAACATGGAACAAACTCTATTCAATCACTTACTTGGGAAATAACGAATCGCATCGCGGGTAAACATACTTTTCAAAATCAAATGAAAGAATCTAATCGAAGACATCGCCACTCTGTTCACTAGCTAGCTGAGTCATCTTTCTCATTTGCCCCTTTGTGCCCTTCGACGCTTTCTTCCTCTCGATCACCTTGCTCCACCACTTCCTCGTTACAAAGACATCACCTCTCTTTTCACCGGTTGCATCCGACCACCACTTTCACCCCTACACCGACAATCGTCGTCGCCCTCCCCATCGACCACCGCCGCCATTGTTACCTACCATATTGACCACCGCTACCGCCCCTTTCCTTTATTCTCGATCTCCACATGACAATTAGGTTTTTTTCCATTATGAATTATAGAGATTATAGAGGACTAAAAGGGAGATATCTTTTTTACTTTGTATACGTTTAATCCTTATTGCATCTTTTTAAATAAGCCATTAAACTTGTTATTGTACACATTTACATTTAGTCTTTATGACCTATGGATGAGATTTAAATCCGGAAAACTACACCAAAACCGGAACCGTTGAACTAGAATATGCCAAACCGGTCCGGGTTTTGGGTAATAGCCTTAACCGGGTTTCGGGTATTAATCCAGGTTTATGCTAAGAAATACTCGGAATGTAAAGAGTTTTTGATGTGTACGTCGACCTAGAGAGGGCATCACATACACAATTATGAACGCACGCTTATGCTTGAACGATTTTGTGATCAGTGCAAGAAAGAACAATACTTTGCTCTTCAAGATATATAATATAGGTATTGAAATATATGTATATATGTTTTTTAATTTAGTATATAATTATTGTGATTTTAAGTCATTGATCGGTTAAAGGTATTGAAATATTCACAAAATCATGTTTCGTGTTGAATGCAGACCCGCTACAAATTGTAATAATAATCTTAATTATATACTATAGCTAAAACACCAGAAACTTGTGTTTAAAAAATAAAAACAGCCATGACACTTATATAGCTAAACATTTCTTATCTTATTAATCAAGATAAAAGAAAGTTTACATCTTTGAACCCTTGATCACATTTCATAAAATAGAATCCATCTTTTCCAGGATTCTTTCTACCAGGATTATTATTAACATAAAGGAGTAAGTAAGCTCTATCTTAAACTTTTTACCGTTTTACCCTTGTATATCTGTTTGTGCCTCTCTAACATCTGAAGCACCAACCATTGAATCCCAACAAAACCCCAGGTGCAAATGGAGGGTAAATTCGTAATTTTGTACAGAGTTGAATACCCGAGAGGGGTTGATTTGAAACTTTATAATCAAATTATTATGATTCTTTCTTTTTGGTTATAAGTGTAGGGGTAACAGATGCAATCCCAATGAGAAACAATGTTACTATTGAATGGATGTCATATAGGTCTCCAATTGACCGTAATTCTCCAAGAGTTATTCCTGCCTGTAAAATTCTAAATAATTAATACAAAAAAAAAAAAAGAGCATTGTAATCTCAAATTTGCAAAGAAAATTTATAAATAATACCTTAACTGTGACATAAGCAGCTGGAATTAGCCCAATAGAAGTCGCCATTAAAAATGTATGATAAGGCACATTGACTATTGGTGAAGCAACATTTATGAACATATTAGGCAAAGTTGGAGTCAACCTTAAGAATAACATGTAGTTCAATAACCCATCTTGCCTTTTAGCCACCTAATTATTTTTAAAAAAAAAAATCATCAATCACGACTTAATATGGTAAGCTATATATACAGTAAGCTAACCTGATCTTGAAAGAAAACCAATTTATCGGGCCATAAAGACAAGATAAGGGGTCGCCCAATCAATTTAGATAGAAAGTAGCAAGAAGAAGCACCAGCTGTAGCAGCAAAGACAACAAGCGCTACACCTCTTAAAACCCCAAAAAGGGATCCAGCGAGAAGCGACATGAAAACAGTTCCTGGGATCATAAGCGTTTGCATGAAGATGTATACAGTGCAATACCCCACTAAGACTTGAACTGTGTAGTCGCTTGTATATCTCTCGAGATGATCTCTGACAAAAATCAAGAAAGGATATTGATAATGAGATGATCGGTTGTGTAAAGCTACGAAATTGTTTTAGAATTCAAAGACAAGATTCAAAATTTCAAATCAATATGATGATATCTTATGTTTGTTGATTGCAAAAGACGTTGACGATTAATGGACGCTTACGTGTTTGCTAATCGAAAATAAAACAGGGGATATGAAGAAGAAGAATTATGAATCGTTCAAAATTGATTAAAAGGATCTAATCTTACATGAAGAATGAACCCAAAATCGTAATGGATTCGATTTATTACCTGAGGATATGAAGATCTTCAAGTGTTTTTGGAAGCTTGAGAAAGCTGTAATCAGAATCCGGCAAGGTGAGGTAAACTCCGAGGAGACCAACGGCGAAAGCGAAAACAACACCGGCTGCACCCGCCATCTCCCAGGCCGTTAATGGAAATTTTGATGACATTTCTAATGATTTCACCTTACTTTCATCATTTTTATCATCGTTCACTATTGAAGGTGAGAATGAAGACGAAGAGCTTGTTTCAATCTGTTCTTGTTCCATCTAATCCAATTTTTCTTGCTTTTCTTGCCCGTAATGGAGACTTTTGGGTTGGATAAATAAATGGGATTTTAGGGAAACTTTAGCACTGCATTTAAGGCACGAAATTGGGAGATGAGGAACCCAAATACGTTTCTTCTTGGATTAGCTTGTGAGGCAATTCTGTTGATCATTATATGACGATGACGAATTGAGGAATTTCCCATTTTGTGGTTTCTCTCTCCTTTTGGTGAGATTATCATTGAGATTTGGAAATATTCGATGCAATTGATTAGGGTTTGACATTGGGCGATTTCTGCGTTGAGAATATCCTTTTGGTTCCATATATTTACATTACAAAAATTCCAATTGAGTGGAATGTTTTTCGATTTTTTTGACTAAAATGGTGTTTTTGAAAAAGATATTTATCAAATAGGTGTAGTTTTAAAAATATTTATCAAATAGATGTATTTTTAAATTTTTTTATTTTTTCTTAAAATTTCAGTTTTTTTAATCATTTTGCTGTTTTTTAGAATATTTTTTTTTATTTTCTTTTTTACTTTTTGCAATAAAAAATGTGTTTCTTTTGTTTATATACATCAAATAAGAGAAAAAACAAAAAAAAATGGTTTGTACATTGCTCCAAGGATTAGAACACAAAAAAAAGTGAATGGTTTTTTTTTTCTTATTTTTTGTTACGACATGTATATATTTAAAAATAATATATACCAAATCAATTGTTTAATTTTAGAATTGTTTTCCCATGTTCCCGTTTATTAGCATATTAATTATTCAGATGGTTTTTACTTAAAATGATATTTATCGGTTCATATTGAAAAAAAAAATTGTTTGTTAGTTTTTATAAAAAGTCTTTGTTGGTTTAGATTAAAAAAGTGTTGGTATAATGTTTACAAAACCAACAATTGCTTCTTACAAAATAAATAACTTCGAAATAGCTTATTTCGATAAACACTATCTGAAAATAAAAAAATGGTCGAATGAACCAAACAAAAAAATATTGAATATGTTTTCGTATATTTTGTTTGGTTTATTCGACTTTATGTCTTATTCTTTTAATTTTTTTTTCAAATAATGGTTATCGAACCAAGCTATTTCAGATATTTTTTTATTTTGTTTTGTATTTGTTAAAATTTTTGTTGGTTTGGTACTTAAAACATTGTACCAATAATTTTTTTAATTTAAACCAACAAGACCAGCAAACAATTTTTTTTCAATTGATTTGGTATATATTAGCAAAAAATACACAATTCTTTTCTTTTTGTATATCTAGAGTTTAGATGCAACAAGAAAAAAAAACTCAACGAATAATACAAAACAATAAAAAAATTGATTTTTATTTCTTATGTAGATACTATAATAATAATAAATTAGAAAAAAAAACATTCTCATTTTTTTGTTTTCTAAACCGTTGAGCAGTGTACAAACCATTTTTTTCTCTTGTTTGATGTATATAAACAAAAGAAACACCTTTTTTATAGCAAAAAGTAAAAAATAAAATAAAAAATGTATAATAAAAAATCAGCAAAATGATTAAAAAAACTGAAATTTTAAGAAAAATAAAAAAATTTAAAAATACACCTATTTGGTAAATATTTTTAAAACCACACCTATTTGGTAAATATTTTTTTCAAAAACACCATCTTGGTCAAAAACTCAATGTTTTTCACATTCTCAAATAAACCTTTGTAAAAAGCTTAATAACAAAAGTA